GTCCAGAGTTTTTGAAGCGTTCGCAAATGCGAACAATGCTTCGCAATTCCCATATCTGCAGAGGTCGGGGTTCGCAATTGCGAACCCATGTTCGCATTTCCCATAACTGAGACCTGCAATTTTTACACTTAAACAATTTCGAGCTTCATTTTTCATATTTTCTCAAACCCAAACACACTTAGGCGATTTTCCAAGAACAAGTCTTCTTCCAAATCAATTGTAAGTTAGTTTTTACTCATTTCTTTCAATCATTAACATCTTTTAACATGATTTCAACCTAAAATGAAAGATTTTTATGGGGAAAATTGGGTGTTTTGGGTAGAACCTAGATTTTTCAAAAATTGGGGATTTAAACCTCGATTTGAGATCCGATTTCAAAACAAATTACATATTTGAGTTCATGGGGGAATGAATAATCGGGTTTTGGTTCGAACCTCGGGTTTTGATCACGTGGGCCCGGGGGTGATTTTTGACTTTTTGGGTAAAACTTTGGAAAACTCATTTTGATGCATTGGGGTTGATTCATTTAGCACTTATTGATGTAATTAAGTAACTTGTGACTAGATTCGAGCGAGTTGGCGGTGGAATCAAGGGTAAAGCTATAATTGAGGCTTGAGTTGTGTTCATGGCATCGAGGTAAGTGTTTGGTCTAACCCTAGCTTCAGGGATTAGGAGTTGAGTCTTATTTGCTATTTGCTTCTTGTTGAGTACGATGTATAGGCATGGTGACGAGTATCTATAGGTTGGTGTCGAGCATGACCGTGGGTCTTAAATTGATAATTGTTGTGTTCTTAAATGACACTTCGGATGTTTTAAATTGATGACTCTTGATATTGGGTGAAGATTTAGTTTATCCTCATGGACTTTATATATGCTTGAGTACTGGTATTAATCGAGCTGAGTAAGAGTTGAGCTAGGATTTGGTTATAGCTGATTCTCCCTTGCCGGGATGGTTGTTTTGATATTGTTGTTCGCTTGCCGGGAAATTATTATTATATTGCTTTTGTTTCCTTACCGGAAATTTTATTATGACTTTGTGTTGACTTGAAATGGGAGCGGGTGGTATGCCTACCACGAGTTATTGATTGAAATGGGAGCGGGTGGTACGCCTACCACGAGTTATTGATTGAAATGGGAGCGGGTGGTATGCCTACCACGAGTTATTGATTGAAATGGGAGCGGGTGGTACGCCTACCACGAGATTAATAAAATGGGAGCGGGTGGTACGCCTACCACGAGATTTAATGAAATGGGAGCGGGTGGTACGCCTACCACGAGATATATTTTCCTTATCCGTGTTAGAGTTAAATTATTGATGTTCTTTATTATTTCTTGAAATTCTATATTATCTGCTATCCTCGAAGCATGTCCCCCTCCCATTTAAAATGTTTGTTCTTGTTATCTTCCCGTTGTAGATATATATATAACTGTACAGGTTTATGTGGTAGTCCTGTCTAGCCTCGTCACTACTTCGCCGTGGTTAGGCTAGGCACTTACCAGCACATGGGGTCGGTTGTGCTGATACTACACTCTGTGCTCTTTTGCACAGATCCAGGTCCCGGAGTAGCATTTGGTCATCAACTATAGATTGGGAGCTATCTTTCAGTCCGAGACTGCGAGGTAGCCCTGCTGGCGATCGCAGGCCCGACGTCTCCTCTATCTTTATTTATGATCTGTTTCCTTTTGTATCCGAGACAGACTTTATTCCTTGTTTCAGACAGTTGTATGTAGCACTCTTAGATAGTCCGTGGATGTTGTGATACCAGGTTTTGGTTAGAGGCACGTGTTGGTCTTCAGGATGTTTTGGTTTTATATTTTATTTAAGACTTCCGCTAAATTTCATATTCCGTTGTAATTTATTGGTTTTTTATGGTAATTTAATTTGTTAAAAATGAATTAAAAACAAAAAGAGTTAATGATTTCTAAGATCGTGGCTTGCCTAGCTTCTACGAGTAGGCGCCATCACGACTCCCGAAGGTGGGCGATCCCGGTCGTGATACTACCGTGGTCATCCAACCCGTTCATGCTAGTCTCAGTTTCAACAGCCGCAACACCACGATGGATGTTATGAGTGTGGCGGTTTTGGGCATATCAGGAGGACTTTTCCGAGGTTATTGGGCGGCACGTCACAACAGAGTTCTCATGCCATGATTCCGGCACCGGTTGCACCACGGCCCGCTTAGCCAGCTAGAGGTAGGGGTCAGGCAGCCAGAGGTAGAGGTTAGGCCGCTAGAGGTGGAGATCAGGCCACTCGAGGTGGAGGTCATGCCACTAGAAGTAAAGGCCATCCAGTATGTGGTCGTCCTAGGGATGTGGTTCAGAGTGGTGGGGCCCAGCCCTGATGTTATGCTTTCCCAGCCAGGCTTGAGGCGGAGTCATCTGATGCTGTTATCACAGGTACTGTTTCGGTATGCCATAGAGATACTTCAGTCCTATTTGATCCGGGCTTTACTTATTCTTGTGTGTCATCCTATTTTGCTTCATATCTGGTTGTGCATCATGATTCTTTAAGTGCTCTTGTGTATGTTTCCACACCTGTGGGAGATTCTATTGTTGTAAATCGTGTCTATCATTCGTGTGTGGTTATTATTGGGGGTCTTGAGACTAGCGTAGATCTTCTACTTCTCGATATGGTTGATCTTGATGTCATTTTGGGTATGGATTGGATGTCCCCTTATCATGTTATATTGAATTGTCACGCCAAGATGGTGACCTTAGCCTTGTCGGGGTTGCCTCAATTAGAGTTGAGAGGGACTCCTGGCCATTCTAGTTATCTCTTATGTGAAGGCTCGGCATATGGTCGAGAAGGGGTGTCTAGCTTATTTGCCTTATGTCTGTGATTCTAGTGCGGAGGTTCATTCCATGGATTCAGTACCGGTTGTTTGTGAGTTTCTAGAGCTGTTTCCTACATATCTGCCGGGGATGCCACCTGACAAAGATATTGACTTCTGTATTGATTTGGCTCCAAGAACTCGGCCCATTTCTATTCCTCCATACTGCATGCCCCTCTCCCCCCCCATAGTTGAAATAATTGAAGGAGAAGTTACAAGATTTGCTTGATAAGGACTTCATTAGACCTAGTGTCTCGCCCTGGGGTGCACCTGTGTTGTTTGTGAAGAAGAAGGATGGATCGATAGTATGTGCATAGATTATCGGCAGTTGAACAAAGTCACAATCAAGAACAAGTATCCATTGTCGATGATTGATGACATATTTGATCAGCTTCAAGGTGCCAAGGTGTTCTCGAAGATTAATTTGAGGTCTGGTTACCATCAGTAGAGGATTAGGGCATCCGATGTCCCTAAGATAGCTTTTCGGAGTCGATATGGGCATTATGAGTTTCTAGTGATGTCATTTGGGGCTGACAAATGCCCCAACAACATTAATGGATTTGATGAACCGGGTGTTCAAGCCTTATCTGGATTCTTTTGTGATTGTGTTTATTGATGATATCTTGATCTACTCCCGCAGTCGAGAGGAGCATGAGCAGTATCTGCGGATCGTACTTTAAACTCTGAGAAACAGCCAGTTGTATGCTAAGTTTTCAAAATGCGAGCTTTGGTTGAGCTCAGTCGCTTTCTTGGGGCACGTTGTATCAGCAGAGGGGATTTAGGTGGATCCTAAGAAGATTGAGGCAATTCAGAACTGGCCTAGACCCACATCAGCTATGGAGATCCGAAGTTTCTTGGGGTTGGTGGGGTATTACCGTCAATTTGTGGAGGGTTTTTCATCTATTGCAGCCCCGTTGACCAGGTTGACCCAGAAGGGTGCCCCGTTTAGATGGTCAGACGAGTGTGAGAGGAGCTTTCAGAAGCTCAAGACTTCTTTGACTACGGCACCGGTGTTGGTGGTTCCCACAAGTTCAGGATCTTATACGGTATATTGTGATGCATATCGTATTGGGCTTGGTGCGATGTTGATGCACGGCGGCTAGGTGATTGCATATGCATCGCGGCAACCGAAGGTTCACGAGAAGAATTACCCTGTTTATGACTTGAAGTTAGCATCCATTGTTCATGCGCTGAAGATTTGGAGGCACTATCTTTACGGCGTGTCGTCTGAGGAATTCACAGATCATCGGAGTTTGCAGTATTTGTTCAAGAAAAACGAGCTCAACTTAAGGCAAAGAAGGTGGTTTGAGCTATTGAAAGACTATGATATCACCATCTTGTATCATCCTGGGAAGGCCAATGTGGTGGCAGATGCCTTGAGTAGAAATTCAGTGAGTATGGGCAGCCTTGCGTACATTCTAATCAGTTAGAGGCCGCTTGCATTAGATGTTCAGGCTTTGGCCAATTAGTTTGTGGAGTTGGGTGTTTCTGAGCCCAGTCATGTTCTAGCTTGTACAGTCGCTCGATCTTCCTTGTTCGAGCGCATCAGGGAGTGATTGTGTAATGTGTAGACATGTGATTTTTGACCCTCCCCAAGATTTTTTATATTTTAGCGTAAATATTTAGTTTAGATTTAGTATCGCTCTCTTTACCTTATTCTATCTAAAAAAAAAGAATTACAAAAAATATTTTTCCTTATTCTAGCTAGTTGATATTTTGTCTAGTTAGTTTTGTTTTTTGAAAAAAATTAAAAAAAAATATAGTCTTGGCATTTTATTTTCCAAAAAAAAAAAAGATAAGAAGAAAAAGTTCAAAAAATATTTTACATTTTTAGTATATATTGAGTAGTATTTAAATGTCATTAATATAGTAATTATTTGTCTTCTCTAAATATTTTTATTATCTTAAATATATTAGTATCTCTTTAAAGCTATTTTTAATTCATCTTTAGAATAAAGAAAAGAAATGAAGAAAAAAAGAGAAACCCAAAAAAGACATGGTCCAACCCAATTACCCTTAGCCCATTCTTTCAAACTCATTAGCCCACTTAAGTGCAAGATTTAATCCTAGTCATCTATTTCCTTTTAATCCAATGACCATTATCTCTTCTCACCTCCATATAAAATACCCAACTATAGAAACCTAGGATTCCTAATTCAAAAAGTTAAGAAGCTAAGAATCGGCACCTCAAACAAAGAAAAGAAAAGCTCTCATCGTCATTTTCTTTTCTTGGAAAAGGAAAAGCTTCGGTCAATCTCTTATCTTTTCAAAATTGAAAGAAACAGTCATTCCTCCTCCTTGTGAGCTCTCTCGCCAAACCCAGGTCAACCCCGAAACAGCCCCAACACAAGCTAAAAGCTGCTGAAATCAGCTGGGAAACGCAGCAAAAAAGAGCTGCAAAATACCACCCAAAATCCAGCGTAGAGAGCAGCAAAATCAGCTGCGTATCTGCTGAAAGTTCTGGCCAAAAGAAGCAGTGAAACAAGCTGCGAAGTAGCTCGAAAACCAACCAAAAGCTGGCTGAAAATCAACACCAAACAGTCCCCTTTTGCATAAAAAATCGCAGTTCCAAGGTTGAGTCATCGAGGTCGCGTCCATGGTTCCGATCCAGGTTGGTTTTCTTAGCTTCTGTTCAAGTTTAATTGGTGTTTTTCCCTTTCTTGTATATATTGAAGTTTTGTTGAATCGATTTTAGAGGAAAATTTTCCAAAGGTTCATTTCTTCTACTGCCTATGATGCACTCTTTAATCCAGTGAATACTTTATGTTTGTGGTTTGGTCATCTATTGATTTTTGATAGCCCCTGTTTGTTTAATCTTTCTAATGTATGTTTAGATGGATTTATGGGATGCTTATGGAACTTAATTTGAGATTGTGAAAATTAATTGTTTATTGGCTTTTAAGTTGGATATATTGGTCTTTTGCCTATTTAGTAACATTAGTGAAAAGTGAGAAACGCAATTCTGAAAACAGGAGGTCGCGCTGAGCATTTCAGTTGCTGTCGAAATGGTTTTAATTACCTGAATACTGTGATAGCTATTGTCTTAGTCTTTCTCCAAGAAAAATGTTCGGTATTGTTTTCATGACTTGTGCTAAGTGTGTAGTAGCATATATTTAGAAATATTTGGTATTCTTTGTTTTATTTCTAGGCCCTTTAATTAGCTTGAGGCGTGCTATATTAGGCCCAAGACTGAATTGATAACCAATTCATTAAATAATTGAAACATTGTAGGCCTGGGCCTTTCAAGTTAAGTAGCGGATTCGAGCTAAGAGTTTCTTCAGTAACGGAGATCGCCTTGTTCGGGTTCGGACTTGAGCTTGGGGCCCGAGTTTCCTTGAATACCATAATGTTAGTTAATTCATAATATTAACAAATTAAGTTTTTTTTAGAGGCAATTCTTATAGATAATGCTGGTTCGTCTTTAGGTTGTCCTTTAAGAACGAATTGAGGTGTACCGTGCCAAATAAAATCACAAATTGCGTGGCCCTCTTTAATTGCTTTATTAAAAATATTTTAGAAATTCGGGACGTGCCATTTAGCGAATTTTCATGGCCTCCCGCAAAGTTAACAAGACGCTAGCCACTTTAGGCGCGCTTTTTAATAATTTTACCTTCTTAACTACGGGTGTGCATTTCATGCGACCCAAATCCAAATCCCAAAACGTTGAATAAGAGGTGTCAAGGATCCGGGTGCATTTCATGTGACGTGATCTAAAAACACGCTCTTAAACGACGTTCACTTTCATAAAAACTAATTAAAAGCGGTTAAACAATTCTAAAATTGCAATAGGATAACATATATTAAAATCAGACTTTAGCCAAATATAGCAGTTGAGCGACCGTGCTGGAACCACGGAACTCGGGAGTGCCTAACCCTTTCTCCCGGGTTAACAGAATTCCTTACACGGATTTCTGGTTCGCGACTGTTAAACAGAGTCAAACCTTTTTCCTCGATTCGGGATTCAAACCGGTGACTTGGGACACCATAAATCTCCCAAGTGGCGACTCTGAATCTCTTAATAAAATGAATCCCGTTTCGGTTGTCCTTTAATTGGAAAAACTCCTTTATTATATCCCTTCCCGGGGTATAGTAAGAAAAAGGGAGGTGTGACATAATGACCCTAATTTGCTTTTCCTTAGGGACATAGTGCGGCACGGTGATGCCAAGCAGGTTACGGTCGGAGATGGTGGAGTTCTAAAGATGTAAGGTCGTGTTTGTGTGGCCTAATGTAGATGGACTTCGTGAGTAGATTCTTGAGGAGGTCCACACTTCCCGGTATTCTATTCTTCCGAGTGCGGTCAAGATGTATCAGGACTTGCGGCAGCATTATTGGTGGAGCAGGCTGAAGAAGGACATAGTTGTGTATATAGCTCGGTATCTAAATTGTCAGCAAGTAAAGTACGAACATCAGGCACCTGGTGGTTTGCTTAAGAAGATAGATATACCTGAGTGGAATTGGGAGTGTATCACTATGAATTCCGTTGTTGGACTCCCACAGACTCAGAGGAAGTTTGATGCACTTTGGGTAGTTGGCAGAGATTTACATCCGCTAGATCGTCCGTCTTCAAAGTGTGCTCGTGTCTATCATTTCTGATCGAGATACGCAGTTCACCTTGCATTTCTGGAGGGCGGTATAGTGTGAGTTGGGCACGCATGTTAAATTGAGCACAACATTTCATCCTTAGGCGGACGGGCAGTCCGAAGACACTAGAAGAGTTATGCCCGACCGTAGAGTTCGTGATGTTGCATTCATGGTCGGGGAGAGAGTGTTGCTCTGGGTATCACCGATAAAAGGGTTTAATGATGTTTGGAAACAAGGGCAAGTTGAGCCCAAGGTACATCGGACCTTTTGAGATTCTTCAGAAAATGGGTAAGGTCACTTACAAGCTCGCATTGCCACCTAGTTTGTTAGCAGTTCATCCAGTATTCCATGTGTCCATGCTCCGGATGTACAACGGTGATCCGTCACATGTGCTAGATTTTAGCTCTGTCTAGTTGGATAAGGATTTGACTTATGAGGAGGAGTCGGTGGCTATTCTAGCCCGATAGGTTCGTTAGTTGAGATCAAAGAGTTATCCTTCAGTTCGAGTGTAGTGGAGAGGTCAACCGATTGAGGCAGCTACTTGGGAGTCCAAGTCAGACATGCAGAGTAGATATCCATACATTTTCACCAGTACAGGTACTTCTCTATGTTCGTTCGAGGACGAACGATTATTTTAGAGGTGGAGAATGTGATGACCTGATAGGTCATCTTATGTTTTAGAACCTTATTCTGTGTTTCGAAGCCTTAAAAACCTCATTGTTAGCCTTCCTTGATTTTCGTGCGCAGTCCTGGTATTGATCCGGAAAGGCTATATGTTAAAAACTGATAAAAATAAGAATTTTGCCTTAAAAATTTGTTTGAGTTGACTACGGTCAACGTTTTGGGCAGACAGACTCATATCCGAATTTTGATGGTCCCAGTGGGTCCGTATGAAATATGGGACTTGGGCGTATGCCTAGAATCGAATTCGGAGGTCTCTAGCTCGAGTTATTAATATTTGTTTAAAAATTAGAAGTTTGAAAGTTTAATGATTCTTAAAAATTGACTGATGTTTGACCTTGTTAATACCGGGTCCGTATTTTGGTTACGGAGCTCGGTACTGGTCCATTATAATATTTATGACTTTTTCTGTTAAATTTTGTGAGAAACGGAAATGGTTTGACGTGATTCGGACGCTCGGTTGTGAAAATATAAGTTTTAAAGTTTTCTTGAAAATTTCATTTGATTTGGTGTTCAATTCGTAGTTCCGGGTGTTATTTTGGCGATTTGATCGTGCGAGCAAGTTCATCTGATGTTTTTGGACTTGTGTGCATATTTGGTTTGGAGCCTCGAGGGCTCGGGTGAGTTTCGGATAGGCTACGAAGTGAATTAGACTTAGAAAATCTGGTTTTCTACAGTTTCAGGTGTCTTATGGTTTTCTTCTTCGTGTTCGCAAAGGTACTCTCGCGAACACGAAGAGTGAGATGGGGATGGGTGGAATTTCTTCTTCGCGAACGCAGAGTAGTGGGGGCATTACCCTTCACGAACGCAACCAGTCTGTCACGAACGCGTAGGCATGGGACCTGAGGGAGGGGTCAGGCATTTCTTCTATGCGAACACTAGCACTTGCTTGCAAACGCGTAGGCCATGGGGGAGCAGCCTTCGCGAACGCGAAAGCCACTTGGGCTGCTGCACATCGCGAACGTGTCAGGCCCTTCGCGAACGCGAAGAAGGCCTGACGCCCAGACCATTAAACATTTCAAAACGGGATTTCTCCCATTTTTCATAACCCTTCCATTAGAGCTCGGCTTAGGTGCGATTTTGAAGAGAAAACTTAACACCAATTCTTAGGTTTGTACTGTTTAACTCATTTTCTTCCATTTCTAACATCATTCATTAATTCCTAGCCCTAAGTTTTGTTCTTCCATGGTAGAAAACTAGGGATTGAGGAAGAATGGGGTTTTTTTGCGAATTGGGGATTTAGACCTCAAATTGAGGTCGGATTCCAAAATTAATTTCATAATTGGGCTCGGGGGTAAATGGCTAAATGGATTTCGGTTCGAACCTCGGGTTTTGACCAGCGGGCCCGAGGTTAACTTTTGAATTTTTGGGGGAATGTTAGGGAAATCTAAATTTATGCATTTTAATTGATTTCATTAGCAATATTTGATATTATTGAGTTAATTGTGGCTAGATACGAGTGGTTTGGAGACGGATTCTAGGGGAAAGGCCCCGGTAGAGCTTTGAATTGACTGCGGAGTGAGGTAAGTATTGTGTCTAACCTTGACTTGAGAGAATTGGGAACCCTCGGACTATGTGCTATGTGATTCTCATGTGAGCAACGTATATGCGAGGTGACGAGTGCTTATACACCGCCGAATAATCTGATTTCCCTGATTTTCTACTTTTCCTTAATTATTTCTTTCATTGCCTTAATGTTATATGCCTTAAGTGCTTTCCATGTTTAACTGCTACCTGTTAATCAATATGTCTCCTGTTAATGATGTTAGTTCTTTGCATAGTTTCATGATTCCCTACTATTTGCTTAAATTGACTTACTTGCACCTACTAATTGTCAATTACAGGATTGGTCTCGCTGAGTAGTAATACTCGAGTAGATTCCTATATTGTACAAGGTTCCTTTTTTGGTTCAGTTTGTTATTTATTGATCGTAAATGTTCTTGTGGTCTGAACTGTTGATTTGACTGTGCACATTGTGTATTTGGTACTGATATGGTGGGATCGGACTGTACGCCGCAGCATGTGTAATAAGGGTGGATTGATATGGTGGAATAAAGGTCAATTTGTGATGTATGGTAGGATCGGGTTGTGCGCAGCAACATGTGGAATAAGGGTGGATTGATTTGGTAAAATAAGGGTGGATTATGATACTGATATCGATATATGGTGGTATCGGGTTGCACGCCACAACATTTATATAGTATTTCTGTTGTTGATGTTATTACGGTGAAATAAGGGAGGATTCTGTGTTGTACGGTGGGATTGGATTGTGTGTTGCAACAACCTATGTGTTTTCATTTCTTGAGTTGTGTTTGGTTTTCGGTATTCTCACTTGAAATGCTAAGGATTGGTAATTCTGGACGACACTGGTTTATCTTTTGAGGCTGTAGTTATTATTTTCAGTTGACAGCTTCATCCTATTCAATATTTCTATTTTTCTGTCATTATTATTTACTGCGTACATGTTGTAGTGTAGGTGTCCGCCTTAGCCCCATCACTACTTCGTTTAGGTTTGGCTCGACACTTACAAAGAACATGGGGTCGGTTGTACTCATACTACACTTTGTACTTCTTGTGCAGATTTTGGAGTCGGTCCCATCGGCGGCTATTAGCGTGCTTGGATTGATCAGCTCAGCGGAGACTTGAGGTATAATTGTTTAGTGCCCGCGGCTCCTGGAGTCTCCTTCTTTAATTTTAATTAGTTATGTATTTTCATTCAGACAACTTGGTACTTTTTTTAGACCCTTGTATGTATTAATCTAGTAGCTCGTGCACTTGTGACACCGGGTTCAGGGATTTGTAGTAGATATTTGGCAGTATTAGCTTCTGCGTTCATATCGTAGATTATTTCAGTTATTTCACTTATTTCTCATATTTAATTCAACTATTTAAAATGGATAATATGTTCTAACGTTGGCTTGCCTAGCAAGTGAAATGTTAGGCGCCATCATGGTCCCAACGGTAGAAATTCCGGGTTGTGAAAATTAGCCCCGATCCCTTATTTACTGCTTCCTCTATTTCAGTTTTTATGCTAATGTGACTTTTCGGGTTAGTCGGTTCGGGTCCGGAGGGATTTCAGAATGAATTGAACACATAGTCTCATGTTTGGAAGCATAAGTTGAAATGGTTGACTGGATTTTCACTTATAGGCATACAACTCCGGAACACAGTTTTGATGGTTCCATTAGCGCCTTTGGGTGATTTTGGACCTAGGAGCGTGTCGGGATTGTGATTTGGTGGTCCGTAGTTGAATTAGGCTTGAAATGGCGAAAGTTAGATTTTTGGAACGTTTGACCGAGAGTGGACTTTTTGATATCGGGGTCGGATTTCAATTTCAAAAGTTGGAGTAGGTCCTTAATGTCAAATGTAACTTGTGTGCAAAATTTGAGGTCAATCGGACGTGATTTGATAGGTTTCGACATCGTTGGTTGAAGTTGGAATTTTCTTAGTTCATTAAGCTTGAATTAGGGTGTGATCCGTGGTTTTAACGTTGTTTGATGTGATTTGAGGGCTTGACTAAGGTCGTATGATGTTTTAGGACTTGACGGTATCTTTGTTTGAGATCCCAGGGCCTCGGGTGTATTTCAGATCATTATCGGATTCATTTTGGACTTAGAGAAATGGCTGGTGCTGGGCTGTTTCTGGTGTCATCGCACCTGCGGTGGGATTGGCCTTAGGTGCGGTCTCGCAAAAGCGAGCTTTTAGTCACAGATGCGGAGCTAGCCTTGCCCCGCAGCGGTCGAAGAAGCGGAACAGTTTTTCGCAGAAGCGCCTTCGCTTCTGCGAAAGCAAGGGCACAGAAGCGCATTTGATCGCAGGTGCGATCTTCGTTCCGCATAAGCGGTCTCGCAAATGCGGACCCTTTGTCCCAAAAGTGGAAGCCCAGGACTTAAGTGTTTTCCGCACCTGCGATGTTTTTCTGTAGATGCGGCATCGCAGAAGCGGTTTCTTGTCTGCAGATGCGATTCACTAGGCAGAATGGTTTAAAATCGAGGGTTTGCCATTTTCTTCATATTTTGAGATATAGAGCTTGAATTGAGGCGAAATTTCGAGGGTTTTTCAGAGAAGACATTTTGATAGGGATTCTTGACTTATTTTTGATTAATATCCACTAATCCATCGTTAATTTCATCATTTAATTAAGGAATAGGGTTAAGAAATTGGTGGGGGGGTTGGGGGGGGGGGGAGGTGGAAGATCCTTAGACCGAATTTTGGTGTTTTAATCGAGGTTTTGGTATCAGATTGAATTTTGGTATGGGTGAACTCATGGTTGAATGGGTGTTCGTATTTTGTGACTTTTATCCGATTCCGAGACATGAGCTCGGGTCAATATTTTGGGGCGATTTTCCAATATCTTGTTAAAGTCTTGATTTCATTAATTAGATTAGTTTCATATAGTTATATTTATGAAATTACGTTTGGCTAGATTTGGACCATTCGAAGTCGAAAAGTCGAGGAAAAGACATTCTTATTGACTAATAGAGCTTGGTTCGAGGTAAGTGACTTGCCTAAGATTGTGTGGGGGAAATCCCCTTAGGGTTTGGTGCTTGTAACAATTTGTGATATGTGAGTGCCGTGTACGCGAGGTGACGAGTGCGTACACGAGCTAATTATTGAAAATCCGTTTTTTACTGAATAGTAACCTGTTATATCCTAAATGAGTTATCCCAGCATGTGTAGTTATCATGTTTAGCCTAATATCGTATGTCTACGCGTCTTAAATGCTTATTTGAAATCTGTGCATCATGTTTAGTTGAATTCATCTTTTTCCTTGATTTTGTATTTAGTCTTTAACTGTAGGATTTCTTGCTATGAATTCGTTGTTCTATCGGTTACAAGTTGTGTTTACTTTAGGGACCAGGAGGCGTACCTCGGGAGCTCCCCTGTTACATATTTACTTTTGGGACTACGAGGCGGTACCTCGGGACCTCCCCTGTTGCATATTTACTTTTGGGACTACGGGGCGGTACCTCGGGACTGCCCTTGTTGTTTATCCCTATGTGCTATGTTGTTACCTTTCTGTAAATTCTTAGTATTTTCATTATAGTACTATATCATCTGCCTTAAATATTATATTCTAGTAGGGCCTTGACCTAACCTCGTCACTACTCTACCGAGGTTAGGCTTGACACTTATTGGGTACCGTTGTGGTGTACTCATACTACTCTTCTGCACATGTTTTGTGTGTAGATCCAGGTACCTCCTACCAGCCCCAATATTAGTAGAGCACGTGTGGTGCTGCTTGGAGACTTCTAAGTATATCTGCCAGCGTCCGCAGACCTCGGAATCCCCCTCTATCCTTATGTTGTCTTTCTTTTTTATTCTCGTAGATGTTGATGTATGGAGACAGTTAGTTCGTTCCTTAGAGCTTGTGACTTGTGATTACCAGATTTTGGCAGTTGTCTATACTCAAGTTGTTGGTTTACTTGTATATGCCGAGCGACATTTTCAGTAGTTTATATATCTGTGAAGTATAGTCGTTATTTCTGTTATTATTTTCAGTTATTCCGTAATTGTTAGGCTTACCTAGTCTTACAGGTTAGGTGCCGTCACGACATCTTACTGAGGGAAAATTCGGGTCAGGACAGTTTGCATTAAGGTAGGATGTCTACATTATACCCTTGGGGTGCGGCACTTCCCCGGAGCCTGCGTGAACACGGGATACTTTGTGAAATGGACTATTCGGATGGGATGGACGCAGTGACATTCATTCAGGTGTAATTAATTTATTTTCAATTGGAGAATAATGTAATTTTGAATTTTCTGCAATACAAAATTTGCAAATTAAGCTCCTATGATTGATTAGGAATGTCAATTACTAAAGATTGCCTAATAATCCAGCTACAACTTTCGAATTTATTTTTGTCTGCATGCTTTATCCAACTATGTGTTTCAGTATTGACATTCTTAAGATCCTTGTGATCTCTGTTTCGATGTCCATTTTAAATTCTCAACATTTCTCTACAAGGAGTGTAAGTCACGGTCCGGCCTAACCGTCAAAATCGTCTTGATAATTGAATCATGAACTCTTTACTCGCCTTTTTATAGCGCCTAATTTCACCCTCTCATTCCTATGTGGGATTTTTCTGAGGCCACAAGGAACTCCTTCCGAGTTAAACCACCAGCATTATAGGTTGTTAACTTAACGGCGCGAGCTTTTAATTTTATAGTTTTTCTTTTTGTAATAAACGTGAAATTATATTACTAGTCAGTGTCACGATCCAAATTTTCCACCCTCGGGAGTCGTGATGGCACCTACTCGTGAAAGCTAGGCAAGCCAACTATTACGGTTCTACACAATAACAATCAACCCCAACAATTATAAACATAAACTAAAGTAAAACAGACGATAAATGCGGAAGAGTTAAAATAAATCCAAATACTCCAATACATGTCTACCCACGAATCTGGTGTCACAAGTTCACGAACAACTAAGATTTTCACTACAAATACAAGTCTGGAAAGAAAAGTACAACTGTTCTCGGAATGAAAAGAGACAGCAGAAAAGCTAAACAGAGAAATGGGACTTTAGGCTCTGCGGATGCCAGCAGATCTACCTGAGTCTCCCTGGACTGAAGACAGCTACCTCAGCTACTCTCTGGGTCCGGTACCGAAATCTGCACAAAAGAGTACAGAGTGTAGTATCAGTACAACCGACCCCATGCACTGAGTAAGTGTCCAGCCTAACATCAGCGAAGTAGTGACGAGGCTAGGACACGACAATCATATATACCTGTGCAATTAAATCATATACAAGCAGAACATCACAACAGAAATCAACAGAATAAAGAGGGAAGGGGACATGCTGCCGAGTAATATCAGGTTCTAACAGTAAATCAATAAGGAAATATCATTAAGGAAGCACAATGAACATCATATATAAAGCAACAAGTAAAATGAAATGGTAACACATGCACGGCATCACCCTTCGTGCTTTTACTCTCGTGCTCTCATGGCACGGCATCACCCTTCGTGCATTACCTCATAATATAGGTACGACATCACCCTTCGTGCATTAACTCTCAAATCGTGGCACGGCATCACCCTTCGTGCATTAACACTCATAATATCGGCACGACATCACCCTTCGTGCTTTACACTCTCTCACAATAACATTCACAGCACCACCCTTCGTGCTTTACACTCTTCCTCACCCAAACAACAGAAAATAATATGTCCCGGCAAGGGAATCAAAAATATCAATAATTATATCCCGACAAGGGAATCAACAATATCTATAATAATATCCCGACAAGGGAATCAACAATATTAACGAACGTCCCGGCGAGGGATTCAGCTATAAAAAATCTCTTTACCAAATGAAACTTCAATTTCAGTCAATACTCAACAATAGTCAATAACCAAGGAACTTTCATAAGCTTTGTTCAACATTAATAATCCTCAATTTGAGCATGATCGATACATAATAGAGTGACAACAATCATGGTACAAGACTTACGGGCATGCTTGACACCAACGTATAGGTACTCGTCACCACACCTATACGTCGTACTCGATACAAACACATAGCAAATAGACGACAACTCTTATTCCCTCAAGCTAAGGTTAAGCCAAACACTTACCTCGATTCCACGGACAAATTAAGCCTCTACTACCACTTAACCTCTCGGTTCCACTTTCAATTCGCTTGTTTCTAGCCACAAATTACTTAACGATATCAATAAATGCTAAATAAACCAATTCTAATGTATGAAAATAGGTTTCCCATTGTTTTTCACAAAAAGTCAAAAATTGAACCCGGGCCCGTTTGGTCAAAATCCGAAGTTCGAACCAAAACCGATCACTCATTCACCCACGAACTCAAATATATTATTTATTTTAAAATCCGACCTCAAATTGA